AATATTGCTTTAATATTCCTTTAAAAAATCCACGCCTTTGCAAGCCTTGAAAAATATTCCTTTAAAAAATCTATGCCTAACGAAGTCCTTCAAAAATTAAAAAAAAACAAATCCTGACCCTCTTACATCTCAACATCTTTCTTATCTTAAAAAAAAAGCATTCCAGGTTTTTGCGAATTTTATATGCTGGGATTTCCCGTATGATGACAATCGAAAACGATCTAGAAGTTGACAATATGGCAGACCCGCCTATAATGATAAATATATTCTTTGGAATTTCCTGTTCTTCAATTATAATGACCTTCAGGAAGCATTTTAACACCATAGAGACCAACCGGTTTAGGTTAAGTTGTTAAGAAACTTATATTTTTATATATTTTTCAAATGTATGTATATAATTTTTACAAAGAATATTTAATAAAAATAATAAAATAATAAAAAAACTAATTCACAAAAAATATTGTTTGTTTTTATTTTTGGATACAAATATGGTAAGTATGCATGTCGCTCCTACGCGTGCTACATATATTTTGTCTGATGACGTCACACAATTTTTCATTCATCTGGTATTGTGCATTTTTTGGGCAAATTTCACAAAAATACCAGGCGCCCAGAATAAAATAGAAAGTAGCCCGCCAAAAAATAAAAAACTAGGAAATTACAAAAATTGTAGCATACTTTTAGGCGCTCGAATTTTTTTTTGGCGGGTGGGGTATTGCCAGGCCAAAATTTTTGCATATTTTTGGTAGGGAGTTGCCAGATCAAAAAATTTTGAAATTTTTATTTTTTGCGGGCAAGTTGCTATTAAATTCTGGGCGCCTGGTAATTTTGTGAAATTTGCCCAAAAATGCACAAATTTTTTGGGAATTTTTTTTTAAATTCAATGGGCCCTGGATAGACAGATATGAGACGTTACAGTCTTGCAATTAAATACTAAGCAGCTAATATTACTAAGAAACTAATATTGAAAGCCCCCCACTAACAGATTTTTATAGACATCCATAAATAAATAAAAAAAAACATTTTTTAGTATTTGTTTTCAAACCTCTTTATTTATTTTATTTCTATAAACACAAAAACACAATGAAATAAAATGAGCTACACACTGTACTTAATAGTATTTAAATTTAATACAATAGTACGGTACAGGAATGAATTATGAATGAAGCCATGTTTAAAGTTAGTAGTTGATATTTTCTTTCCCAAACTGTTTAAACAAACCAGGCATCCAGAACGGGTAGTTAGAAACATAAACTCATTGGCAAACTGTGGGCTTTCAGTTCCGTAACATGTACCAGGATCGAAATTCGGAGCAACATGTTGGGGCTCATATCAGGAAATATATTTGAAAAAAGAAACATAACTGCTTTGGTAGTCCTTGAAGGAAGAGGATTTCTATAAAAATCCCCAATGACTGCTCAACAAATCTGTACAGAATCTGCTCTCATTTTCCTCTAATAGGCGCGAATCTTTTAAAGGCTTCCATAGGCGTGGATTTTTTAAAGGAATATTTTTCAAGGCCAGAGTAGGCGTGGATTTTTTAAAGGAATATTTTTAAAGGCTAGAGTAGGCGTGGATTTTTTAAAGGAATATTTTTTCAAGCCTCCCATAGGCGTGGATTTTTTAAAGGAATATTTTTCAAGGCCAGAGTAGGCGTGGATTTTTTAAAGGAATATTTTTAAAGGCTAGAGTAGGCGTGGATTTTTTAAAGGAATATTTTTTCAAGCCTCCCATAGGCGTGGATTTTTTAAAGGAATATTTTTCAAGGCTTCCATGGGCGTGGATTTTTTAAAAGAATATTTTTTCAAGGCTTCCATAGGCGTGGATTTTTTAAAGGAATATTTTTTCAAGGCTTCCATAGGCGTGGATTTTTTAAAGGAATATTTTTTCAAGGCTCTAATAGGCGTGGATTTTTTAAAGGAATATTTTTTCAAGGCTCTAATAGGCGTGGATTTTTTAAAGGAATATATTTTCAAGGCTCTAATAGGCGTGGATTTTTTAAAGGAATATATTTTCAAGGCTCTAATAATCGTGGATTTTTTAAAGGAATATTTTTTCAAGGCTCTAATAGGCGTGGATTTTTTAAAGGAATATTTTTTTTAAGGCTCTAATAGGCGTGGATTTTTTAAAGGAATATTTGTTCAAGGCTCTAATAGGCGTGGATTTTTTAAAGGAATATTTTTTCAAGGCTCTAATAGGCGTGGATTTTTTAAAGGAATATTTTTTCAAGGCTCTAATAGGCGTGGATTTTTTAAAGGAATATTTTTTCAAGGCTCTAATAGGCGTGCATTTTTTAAAGGAATATTTTTTCAAGGCTCTAATAGGCGTGCATTTTTTAAAGGAATATTTTTTCAAGGCTCTAATAGGCGTGGATTTTTTAAAGGAATATTTTTTCAAGGCTCTAATAGGTGTGCATTTTTTAAAGGAATATTTTTTCAAGGCTCTAATAGGCGTGGATTTTTTAAAGGAATATTTTTTCAGGGCTTCCATAGGCGTGCATTTTTTTAAAGGAATATTTTTTCAAAGCTCTAATAGGCGTGCATTTTTTAAAGGAATATTTTTTCAAGGCTCTAATAGGCGTGGATTTTTTAAAGGAATATTTTGTCAGGGCTTCCATAGGCGTGGATTTTTTAAAGGAATATTTTGTCAGGGCTTCCATAGGCGTGGATTTTTTAAAGGAATATTTTGTCAGGGCTTCCATAGGCGTGGAGTTTTTAAAGGAATATTTTTTCAAGGCTCTAATAGGCGTGGAGTTTCTAAAGGAATATTTTTTCAAGGCTCTAATAGGCGTTGAGTTTTTAAAGGAATATTTTTTCAAGGCTCTAATAGGCGTGGATTTTTTAAAGGAATATTTTTCAAGGCTCTAATAGGCGTGGATTTTTTAAAGGAATATTTTTCAAGGCTCTAATAGGCGTGGATTTTTTAAAGGAATATTTTTTCAAGGCTCTAATAGGCGTGCATTTTTTAAAGGAATATTTTTTTAAGGCTCTAATAGGCGTGGATTTTTTAAAGGAATATTTTTCAAGGCTCTAATAGGCGTGGATTTTTTAAAGGAATATTTTTCAAGGCTCTAATAGGCGTGGATTTTTTAACGGAATATTTTTTCAAGGCTCTAATAGGCGTGGATGTTTTAAAGGAATATTTTGAAGGCTCTAATAGGCGTGGATTTTTTAAAGGAATATTTTTCAAGGCTCTAATAGGCGTGGATGTTTTAAAGGAATATTTTGAAGGCTATAATAGGCGTGGATTTTTTAAAGGAATATTTTTCAAGGCTCTAATAGGCGTGGATTTTTTAAAGGAATATTTTTTCAAGGCTCTAATAGGCGTGGATTTTTTAAAGGAATATTTTTTCAAGGCTCTAAATGATTTGGCTTCTTTAATGTAATATTTTTTCAAGGCTGTAAAAGACGTGGCTTCTTTAATGTAATATTTTTTCAAGGCTCTAATAGGCGTGGATTTTTTAAAGGAATATTTTTTCAAGGCTCTAATAGGCGTGGATTTTTTAAAGGAATATTTTTTCAAGGCTCTAAATGATTTGGCTTCTTTAATGTAATATTTTTTCAAGGCTGTAAAAGACGTGGCTTCTTTAATGTAATATTTTTTCAAGGCTCTAATAGGCGTGGATTTTTTAAAGGAATATTTTTTCAAGGCTCTAATAGGCGTGGATTTTTTAAAGGAATATTTTTTCAAGGCTCTAATAGGCGTGGATTTTTTAAAGGAATATTTTTTCAAGGCTCTAAATGATTTGGCTTCTTTAATGTAATATTTTTTCAAGGCTGTAAAAGACGTGGCTTCTTTAATGTAATATTTTTTCAAGGCTCTAATAGGCGTGGATTTTTTAAAGGAATATTTTTTCAAGGCTCTAATAGACGTGGATTTTTTAAAGGAATATTTTTTCAAGGCTCTAATAGGCGTGGATTTTTTAAAGGAATATTTTTTCAAGGCTCTAAATGATTTGGCTTCTTTAATGTAATTTTTTTTCAAGGCTGTAAAAGACGTGGCTTCTTTAATGTAATATTTTTTCAAGGCTCTAATAGACGTGGATTTTTTAAAGGAATATTTTTTCAAGGCTCTAATAGGCGTGGATTTTTTAAAGGAATATTTTTTCAAGGCTCTAATAGACGTGGATTTTTTAAAAGAATATTTTTTCAAGGCTCTAATAGGCGTGGATTTTTTAAAGGAATATTTTTTCAAGGCTCTAAATGATTTGGCTTCTTTAATGTAATATTTTTTCAAGGCTCTAAAAGACGTGGCTTCTTTAATGTAATATTTTTTCAAGGCTCTAATAGGCGTGCATTTTTTTAAGGAATATTTTTTCAAGGCTCTAATAGGCGTGGATTTTTTAAAGGAATATTTTTTCAAGGCTCTAATAGGCGTGGATTTTTTAAAGGAATATTTTTCAAGGCTCTAATAGGCGTGGATTTTTTAAAGGAATATTTTTCAAGGCTCTAATAGGCGTGGATTTTTTAAGGGAACATGATAACTCCCCACTGGAACATCGGAATCCGAAAATTCCAACGGTGTTGGAAAGAGCACATATCTGTCTCTCGTATGAACTAGGATTATTGACTTCGCTCTAAAAGGAAAGGAAAAAATGTTCCTTAAAAACTCCACCCGTACATTAGTACTTAGCAAAAAATATGGTTTTGTTCGTAAATATTATTTATTGAAAATATCATGGACTGGAATGTGATCATCTAATCCACAAAAATACGCTGACGTCGTATCATCATGACCACATATTTCATTGAGTTCCACAATTCTAGCCAATCTCTCCAATAGATGCCATCAGCATATTCTCCTTTGTATTTGCCCTGGTGATAATATCCCGTGGGAACACTGAAAATATGACACAAAAATAAACTTCAATTCCAATACATATATAAAATCATAAAAAACAATTGCATTAAAACTTACGCTCGAGCACAGCTCTTATACCACCAACCACCCTTATGGACGGCAGCACAATTTTGTGTATGATTATCGTTGTCCTGATCGTGGGTGCTAAATGCCGCACCCACCGAATATGACAAACTATCCCCTGCATTACCGGTGTATTTACCCAGCAACTTTAATTTATATTTCTCCTCCGCGCCGCCAATGACTAAATGATCATAGCGTGCATAACGCATTGAGCCACTAAAATTATGCATATACACATATAGTTCCTGGGGTCCATCGTAATTGGTCAGAGCGTAAAGATTTTCCAAACCAATCCAATATTCACCATCCACGGAGCCGAAACCATTCACATAATCCTCCCAGGGCCGATTGAAATTTTCCGAACCATCGATACGTTGTAAAATATGTAACCAATCACCTCCCTTGGTGCGATAATCACAAAATGCTTGAAATGTATGATTCCGATAACGGGCAATGGTTATATTATAATAGCCACTGGTTTCAGTGCAAGCTGTGGCCATGGCACAGTTGGAGGGTGCTGGATGGCATTCCATTGGCAGTTCATCTACTCGAGCATCAAAAATTGGTTTACTTTGATTGCGATATTTTTCTCGTTCGGCATATTTTTGAGACATAGAAGGGTGTCTATAAAAAAAAGAAGAATATAAAAATACAATAATCCGATATATTCCGCAAATACTTACAATCCGCCATCCACTTTCATCTTCAGCATATCAAGTGATTGTTTTAGGCTTTCCACTTCCATTGACAATTTAGCATAATTATTCTCAGCCGGCAGATCTTGAGAATTCTAAAAATAAAAGGAAATATTAAAGCCTTTATAAATAGTCCTTTAAAAAATCCACGCCTCTGGGAGGCTTGAAAAAATAGTCCTTTAAAAAATCCACGCCTCTGGGAGGCTTGAAAAAATAGTCCTTTAAAAAATCCACGCCTCTGGGAGGCTTGAAAAAATAGTCATTTAAAACATCTACGCCTCTGGGAGGCTTGAAAAAATAGACCTTTAAAAAATCCACGCCTCTGGGAGGCTTGAAAAACTAGTCCTTTAAAAAATCCACGCCTCTGGGAGGCTTGCAAAAATAGTCCTTTAAAAAATCCACGCCTCTGGGAGGCTTGAAAAAATAGTCCTTTAAAAAATCCACGCCTCTGGGAGGCTTGAAAAAATAGTCCTTTAAAAAATCCACGCCTTTGGGAGGCTTGAAAAAATAGTCCTTTAAAAAATCCACGCCTCTGGGAGGCTTGAAAAAATAGTCCTTTAAAAAATCCACGCCTCTGGGAGGCTTGAAAAAATAGTCCTTTAAAAAATCCACGCCTATCGGAGCGTTGACAAAATATTCCTTTAAAAAATCCACGCCTATCGGAGCCTTGACAAAATATTCCTTTAAAAAATCCACGCCTATCGAAGCCTTGAAAAAAATTGATTTAACAAATCCACGCGTATAGAAGCTTTGAAAAAATATCCGTTTAAAAAACCCACGCCTATGGAAGCCTTGAAAAAATATTCCTTTAAAAAATCCACGCCTATTGAAGCTTTGAAAAAATATTCCTTTAAAAAATCCACGCCTATCAAGGCCTTGAAAAAATATTCCTTTAAAAAATCCACGCCTATCAAGGCCTTGAAAAAATATTCCTTTAAAAATCCGCGCCTATGAAAGCCTTGAAAAAATATCCGTTTAAAAAATCTAGGCCTATCGAAGCCTTGAAAAAAGATTCCTTCAAAAAATCCACGCCTATCACAGAAAAAATATTCCTTCGAAAAATCCACGCCTATCGTAGAAAAAATATTGCTTTAAAAAATACACGCCTATGGTAGCATTGAAAAAATATTCTTTTGAAAAACCCACGCCTATGGAAGCCTTGAAAAAATATTCCTTTAAAAATTCCACGCCTATAGAAGCCTTGAAAAAATATTCTTTTGAAAAAGCCACGCCTATGGGCCTGGAAAAAAACATTTCTTTAAAAAATCCACGCCTGTGAAAGTATTGAAAGATGATTTTGATTTCGGATAGACTTACCCCAAAACAAATTAAGCAGCCGAACACCAAAACAATTTTGAAAATCTCCATTTCGTTTACTTGCCAATTCTCGAAACTGAACTGAACTTGAGATTCTCTTATTTTGGATATTTATGATCGAATTTTAAATTATTTTTAGAATTCGCAATTTTGAAGCTATGCTAAATTTTGAACTTGGTCATTAATTTGAATATGTTTTGAATATATTCACAGTATTTTTTAATGGATGCAACAATTTTGGATTAGAATTTTGAATAAAAAAACAAACAATCTATTTCGAAAAATCTAAAATCTATATGGGGGTTAAATACCATTCCATAAGCTCACCTTTCGGTAGAAAATAATATTCCAAAATCTGTTTTCAATTCACCACAATAAATTTGTATAACTTTATTTGCGGCTGTTTTAGGTTTGCTGGTTGGTTGGTTTTACAATTTCATTTCAATTTTTTTTCTCTTCTTTCTTTCTGAAAAGTAGTTGCATATAATATTTTTAATAATTAATTAATTATACCTCTTAAAACCATAACTATTGAATAGTTGTTGTTATTATTGTTTATATAAATGACTAAGTTGGTTGGTTGCTAATATTCTTTTGAAAAATTCTATTATTTTTTTTTAAGTTTTAGTTATTATATTTGTTTTTAATTCCAAAAAAATAATAATAATATAGTTATTGCATTTTTTTTATACAAGTGTTGAAATTGTTGTTTTGTAATTCAAGAAATTAAAAATAAAAAATGTATTATTTTGTGTGTTTTGGAACAAAGCGTACTTATATAGTATAGTTTTAGAATCGAGAGATGGGAAAATTGTCGGTTTTGTGTTAAAAATTGTTTAATCTCTGTCGGTTATAAATTGGATGTAATGAATAGTATTTGACTAATCGAATTTTATCCCATTGTACAAAAATGATAAAAATTATATTAGAGAATAAAGCATAAAATCAATATGGTAAGAAATCTTATATTGAAATGAATTATATAGCAAATGTTGTAAAATATTTTTCAGAAACAAAAAATAAAAAAAAAATCCGGCTTTAAAACGATGTTTACTAATGGTCTGTAGTATGTTTTAAATTTTATATTATTTTTTTACCACAACCGGGATTTTGGAAATCCCAAATCAGAGCTGGACAAAATCAAAATACCTATATATCCATACGCCTAATATATACTATAGATTACAGCCGATTCGGTAAGATTTTTCCGAGTCAGAAGTAATCAGCGTCTAATAAAGTCTTGGAAAAATCTGCGACTGGATACACAAATGCCGTTACTCTACGCATTTTTTAAGCTGGAAACAAAAGGCAAACAAAAGCTTTTAAAATCTCCGGCTATTAAAGCCTGTGATAGTAGTCCCCGTTGAAAAAAAAAAATCCGTAAGGAATCCACACGGTGATTTAATTTGCATCCGTGCACTGAAATTGAAGGAAACGTTTTCCAAAACCCCAGATGTTTTTTTCTATTTCATTCCTCGAAATGTTTAGCATCTATCGAAGCCTTGAAAAATATTCCGTAAAAAAATCCACCCCTATCGAAGCCTTGGAAAAATATACCTTTACAAAATCCACCGATCGATGAAAAATCCTTAAGAATGCAAGTTGATAATCATTCATTCCTGATGATTTTTTTCTATGGTAAGCTGGTTAAAACTCTCCTTGTCGGCTTACTGAATTTTATTTATGAAAA